AGTTATTACGAAGGAATGGCTACTGGGTGCAGCGAACATGACTTGAGTGCCAGTGGGTGCAAAATTCACAATTAATTACAATTACTTATATAGCGCCAACATATTACGCAACACTGTACAATAGGTCAAGCAAGGCAAACAGTGAGTTCTAACAAAACATGTTTGACATTCAGGAGTAGTTGACCCTGCCTAAAGTATGGAACAACGAGGCACATAGAATAAGGAATCACACTGGATGTAAAGCTGTAAACCAGATTCAGATTTAAGCCTAAACAATAGAAACTTCTTCAGATCTCATGAGTCCTGTATACAGTTCCACTTACTCCTCTACGCAGGTTAGAAGTCAGAATATGAGCCTGACTGCACTGCAACTACCGAAAGCAAATCCCTAATTTAAAGCTTGAAAGCCTTCAAAGTCTGAGTATATTCAGCAGCCTGGGTCCGTCTTGCTCGGCACTCTGCAATACATTTTGGATTGTAAATCCCATTACTCTCAGAAACCATATGGCCAGCCATTGATAAATGGTGAAACATACCCAGCTCTTTCTCCTGTGTAAGGACAGGTTTATTTGGAGTGCTAATATCGTTTTAAGAAATAAATATATAAATAATCATAAAGATATACTATATATTTTATTACCTTTACTAAAGTTATAGGTCTGCTCTCCAGTTTGGGCATGGCCACAATGTCCCAGATTTGTAAGTGTTGCACTATCCGTCCCCCATTACCACCTCCAGTGGACCCGTTTTGGAGGCACTGTAACATTTGTTTCTTCACTTTTACGGTACATGCTATGAAGGAGAGCAGGAGAACCACGAGCAGGAGGGGTCTCCTGCCACACTAGTCTGGGAATCATCTGTATACACACAGAATTGTCAAGCAAGGGGACTTGTCAATTTAGACTTTCTTTGTATTTTCAATGCAGTGTAACCTTTCATGAGTCAAGCACTCAAATTAGACTGTAAAACTCTATAAACATAGAAAGTTAAAAGCAAAAAATGGAAAAAGATGAGAAATCTACAGCGGCAAATATGTGTCAGGATTTAGATTAGTATGTAAATTCTATTTCCGTCTCTCTAATTTGAAAACCTGTTCGGGGCTCTACACAAATCAACATTTTGACGTTCAATTTTTTCATTTATTTTAAATATAATAAAGTACTCAATTCTTTCCTAGTAATACAATGCACGCAAACAAAAATCTATTTCATATTAGAACTTTCTTATCTCAGGACTCGTATTCCCAATGATAAGACACTTCACTTACTCTAGCTTATTATAAATTAATTTGGCAGCCAACTGTTAAATGCAGCAGCCAGCCCATTAGCACATTACACTAAGAAAAAAAAAAACAAAAAAACATTAAAGCCCTGAACCTTTAAATCGTGTAAATAAATATAATATATAATAATGTTAATGGTAATGGTGATCCGGCGTTCTTTGGGCAACTTGTCCCTGCTATGTTTAAAACAAATATTCAAAGTAATAAGGAATAGATGAACATCCCGGTTTATTAAATGTTCAATACAGCAGAAAACTGCCTTGAATTAAAACAAAATGACTCACCAGGAATTTAAAAGCAAAAAATATCTCTTTCTAAAAAACAGTTAATTTCCATCCGGCCGCGTTAACAGCAGCATTTTGTAGAAGTGGAAAAAGAAGAAAATAATATATATATGTAATATAAAAATAAATCACTCCAACAAAACGGCCAATGAGCTCATCAAATTTAAATCCAGCCTTTCCATTTATGTATTTTATATATTAAAGAAATAAACACGGTTCATTTGTCTTGTTGCCGTGTTTTTCTGTGCTGTTGCTGTGAACTTGAGCTATTAGCTACACTCCAAGGTAAACTACAAGAACCATCAACAAAAGTGACACTCAATCTAAGGAGTTCATATTTTGTCCAGATTATCTATGGTAGTTGACAAGCTGGTAATGAAAAAAATCACACTAAGCAAATGGATCTCTAATAACAATAAATTCTCTATAAAAATATGAGGGGTACAAAAATGCTTCCTTACATCAATTTTGTCATGAATTCTAATTAATGCTGGGGGGGTTGGAGGGGGCTCGGAGGCTGCTGGGCCATCGCATGTAGTGCATTGCTTTGTGATTGATGGGATGCTGGAACTTGCCCTGTGCTGCAAAGATTCCCTTTCTCTTAAAATTAATGACCCTCCTACCTGCCCTCATCATACAGCCCAAATGATATTCCCCTTCTTATTTCAATTTTAAGGGACATGGAAGATGGCAGAGATCGGTCATTTATCTTCTAATCGCAGCATAATAGATCTATCACTATAAAGCATCTGCACAAATAGTTATTTTTCCATAACAGTGAAAGCTCTTACCAACCTTAAATCAATAACTTCTGAAAGAGCAGTTTTTCCCGGGTGTCGGGCTCTGCAGAGAACATGATAACTTACTAAAAAATATTTAACATGGTTAAGAAAGGAGAGGGATGGTTCTGCTTGCTGTGGGTAGTATAGCTGGGAGCTGTTAAAGTGAATGAGGAATCCCTGGAGCCCAGTAAATACACGATATCCGGGTAGTTGCCGCGCGTAGGGACAGAGAAGACGTGACATGAAGCATGTAAGGAAGTACTACGACTACATGCTAGAACACGTTTCTCCATTTGTCAATATGTGTATGAGTGAGTGCGTGTATGGAGAGATTATATATATATATATACATATATATACATACACACACACACACACTTCTGTGTCTGCGTTTATATGTCAGTGTGTGTATCTGTGTTATGGTGTGGGCATGTATCAATGTTTGTGTGTGTCAGGGTGCATGTGTGTATATGTCGGTGTCTATATGAATTTGTGTGTATGTGTCTGTGTATTTATGTGCATGTATGTATGTATGTATGTATGCATGTATGTATGTATGTGGTAGTGTACGTGCATACATCGAAGCATTCAAACACCAGTACAACACACCCCTGCATTCAAACAAAAAAATATATATACAAACACAAATACTTCACACAAATGTACATCTGCATGTAAAAGTGAACATTCAGACACACCCCTGCAATCAAACGCAAACATTACATACAAACACACCCCTGTATTAAAACACAATAACGAAAAACAAGCGCCCCTTCAAACACCAACACAACCTAGAAATTTTGACTTGAGGTGCCTTGGAAAAATACTGAAATATTAAGGGTGCCTTGAACCTAAAAGGTTTGGGAACCTCTGGGCTAGACCATTTAACATTATAGATGACGGAGTCTATAAATGCAATGTCAATTCTGGGAAATGTGCAGTAATAGAAAGCTGACATGCCCACAGCTATTCCTTCACAAATATTTGCATGCAACTTGTGATCCATTGTGGAAATAAACACAAACTACGATTATTTAGCTACCTGATAAAAGAAGAGAAGGGACTGTCCCTGTAACGGTTTCTGAACATTCGATGTGCTACATGTGCCTGCATTTCATCGGTCTTTCTTTACGTGTACTGGAATGCTTTGCTTTTCTAAAGAAAAACAGTAAAAAGGCCAGGTGATGCACATGTAGCCTTCTCAATCAGATGTCCAGTAAACACTTTGTGAGTTCTGTGTGAAATGGAATCCTGAGGAACGTTTTGGGAGTGGAACAATCATGACTCAGTCATCAACATCAGTATATCCAGTATTTGAGATATAGAGATAGATAGATATATACATATACACACACACACACACACACACACACACATCTATATAGTGCTTGGGAAGCAAAAAACAAAAGGTTATGGTGGGGAAAAAAACTGAAAACCCCTTCCACCTGAAGTCTGTGGATAGTTAATACAATGTTAAAAATAAATCTGCAAACCAGTCAAGCCATAAGACTTTCCCACAGAAATCGCAAGTCTGCAGTGATGTTACTACCGCAAAGGATTCTAGGTGGGCACATGCAAATTAGTTTAACAAAGAATATACAGTAAATCTAAAATATTAATATTATTATTGGTATTTATATAGCGCCAGCTTATTCCACAGCGCTTTACAATAAGAGGGGAATTTACCAAATGAGACAATAACAAAATGTAACAGGAACAATAGGTAGATGATGGCCCTGCTCAAACGAGCTTACAGTCTAGAAGAGGTGGGGTATAAACACACAATAGGAAGGGTATTGAGAGAGACAGCAAATAGACATGGGAAAGTAGCAGAACTGGGGGTGAGAGTGGAGTGTGGCCCTATAGGAGAGAGCAAGGGGAAGGTTTGAGAGATAGAAGTTACTCTTGGAGGCCATAAGCAATCCTGAAAATATGTGTTCTGAGGGACTTCTTAAAGGATTGAAGACTAGGGGAGAGTCTGACAGGGGAAAGCAGCCGCCCGTGAGAAGTCATGCAGGCGTGAATTTGCGGTAGGGGTGCGAGAAGCAGACAGGAGAAGGTCACCAGTACAGCGGAGAGACCGAGAGGGGGCATACCTATGAACCAGTGAAGAAATGTAAGAGGGGCTAGAGTTGGTTAGAGCCTTATAGGTAAAGGTTAGTACTTTAAATTGACACCTGTAGGGTACAGGAAGCCAGTATAAGGATCGACAGAGGGGAAAGGTGTGAGAGGAGCAACAGGAGAGAAATCAGCCTGGCAGCAGCATTCATCACAGATTGTAGGGGGGCAGTATGGCTTCTGGGGAGACCAATCAGGAGATAATTACAGTAAAAGATTACTAGAGCATGAACAAGCTCCTTGGCAACATCTTGCGTAAGAAAGGAGCGTATGCGGGCAATGTTTTTAAGCTGGAATCGACAGGTTTTAGCAACAGACTGGACATGAGGTGCAAAGGTGGGGCCAGGATCAAAAATGACACACAGACAGCGTGCTTGAAATGGTAGGGTGAGGCAGGTACTGTCAACTTGCAGGGAGAGTGGAGGAGGAGGATCAGTGTTAGGAGGAGAAAAAATAAGAAACTCTGTTTTAGAGAGATTGACTTTCAGAAAGTGGGAGGACATCCAACCAAAGATAGAAAAAAGGCACTTGGTGACACGTTGTGTGTGTCACGTGTGTATGCGTGTGTGTGTGTGTGTATGTATATATATATATATATATATATACACACACACACACACGCATACACACGTGCTCAAAAGTGTGCATACTCTGGCAGAAATTGTGACATTTTGGCATTGATTTTGAAAATATTACTGATCAAGCAAGAAAATGTCCTTTATTGAAGTATAGTGATCATATTTATTATCACTTATTTGTTTGGCTCATATTTAAATCATAATAACAGAAATCACCCTAATGGCCCAGATGAAACGTTTACATACCCTTAATGTTTGGCCTTGTTACAGACACACAAGGTGACACACACAGGTAAAAAAAGGCAATTAAAGGTGAATTTTAAATTACAATCAGTGTCTATGTATAAGTAGTCAATGAGTTTGTTAGCTTTCACGTGGATGCACTGAGCAGGCTAGATACTGAGCCATGGGGAGCGGAAAAGAACTGTCAAAAGACCTGCATAACAAGGTAATGGAAGCTTATAAAGATTGAAAAGGATATAAAAATATATCCAATTACTTGAAAATGCTATTCAGTGCTGTTCAATCACTCATTAAGAAGTGGAAAATTCGGGGATCTCTTGATATCAAGCCAAGGTCAGGCAGACCAAGAAAAATTTCAGCCACAACTGCCAGAAGTATTGTCCAGGATAGAAAGAAAAACCCACAGGTAACCTCAGGAGAAATATAGGCTGCTCTGGAAAAAGACGGTGTGGTTGTTTCAAGGAGCACAGTAGGACAATACTTCAACAAAAATGAGCTGCATTGTCGAATTGCCAGACAGAAGCCTTTACTGCGGCAATGCCACAAAAAGCCCAGTTACAATATGCCCGACAACACCTTGACATGCCTCACAGTTTCTGGCACACTGTAATTTGGAGTGACGAGACCAAAATAGAGCTGCATGGTCACAACCATAAGCGCTATGTTTAGAGAGGGGTCAACAAGGCCTATAGTGAGTATAGTAAAGACACGAGGAATCTTGTGAAAATTGATGGCAAGATGAATGCAATTTGTTATCTGAAAATACTGGCAGACAATTTGCATTCTTCTGCATGAAGGCTGCTCATGGGACCCTCTTGGACTTTACAGCATGACAATGACCCTAAGCACAAGGCCAAGTTGACCCTCCAGTGGTTACAGCAGAAAAGGGTGAAGGCTTGGGAGTGGCCTAACCTTAATATCACCAAGCCACTCTGGGGAGATCTCAAACATGCAATCCCTTTTTTCTGAAAGTGGAAAAATATTATTGCCATTTCCTGAGAAATGGTAATGTTTCTCAGGTTTATAGTGGCTGTCAGACTTAAGGCCTTCGAAAAGCAATGTATCTATGTAGGTATGAGAAGCTCCAGATTGGCTTAGCAGGGAGATTACAACACATGCGCACAATGTCCCAGTGCTTCTATATAACACTGGATTTCACAAATATTAGGCTGATCTCATATTGCTCAGCAAGCACACCAATGCTATGCAATATGTTCTGCAGGTAATTATGGTACACTTTATCACAACTGATAATTCATGGCGTTTTGTGCATATTTTATAAACTAATTATTCTACAATTAGTATACATCTTGTAACCATTTTGTACATTAGTATATGCATTATTAATTTTAGGAAGACAGAATTATTGCCAAAATGTTGCTACTCTATCCCTTGTGCTCCTCCTGACTTCTCACAGAAAAGCCTGTCACTTGCCTCTATAAATTCTTTTTATTTCATTCCATCTTTAGATTAGCCATCCTGATTCCCTCAACATGTCCTGATGTCCTAAAAATAGTGGGCTTTAACACCTTTAGGACAGCACGTAGCATCCCATAGTCAAACTGCTCAATTCTCTGCCATTTAGGAATTAAGTTACTTTTGTTTCTGTATATGCAGCCCTAACCCCACCTCCCCTGACTGACTCACACAGCCCGCACGAAAACAAAATGGTTTTACTTTCAGTTGTGTGTGAACTTTAATCACACACAGGAGGCTGCTGAAGACTATTAAAGTAAAAACATTCTACATTAAACAGGCTGTACAATAAAGGAAGTTTAAACATTAGATCTCTATACAGGAAGTGTTTAGGGAGGTGTGACTAAGGCTGCATTAAAGGACCACTATAGTGCCAGGAAATCATACTCGTTTTCCTGGCACTATAGTGCCCTGAGGGTGCCCCCACCCTCAGGGACCCCCTTCCGCCCGGCTCTGGAAGGGGGAGAGGGGGGTAAAACTTACCTTTTTCCAGCGCTGGGCGGGGAGCTCTCCTCCTCCGATCCTCCTCTTCTCCTCCCCGTCGGCTGAATGTGCACGCGCGGCAAAAGCTGCGCGCGCATTCAGCCGGTCACATAGGAAAGCATTCATAATGCTTTCCTATGGACGCTGGCGTGCTCTCACTATGAAAATCACAGTGAGAAGCACGCAAGCGCCTCTAGTGGCTGTCAATGAGACAGCCACTAGAGGAAATAGGGGAAGGCTTAACCCATTCACAAACATAGCAGTTTCTCTGAAACTGCTATGTTTATGAAAAAATGGGTTAACCCTAGAAGGACCTGGCACCCAGACCACTTCATTAAGCTGAAGTGGTCTGGGTGCCTAGAGTGGTCCTTTAACACAGTGATTTAAGACATAATTGGCAGAGAATTGAGCAGTGAGACTGCAGGGGCACGATCTACACATCAAAACGGCTTCATTAAGGTAAGGTTGTTTTCGTGCCTATGGTATCCATTTAACTATTTAATAACCCAACAAGATATTGTTTAAACGGATTAGAAAATATATACATTTTGTAACCTAGACATTCCCTTTCAGTCATACAAGTTAAAGAATAGCAGTAACTTCTATGACCCAAAATGCAAAGGAGTATTGCTAAAACTATTAAGTACTGTTTAGAACTTGCCATACTGATCTGTGCTTTACAATATAAATTGGCATAAAAAGTACTGAGCTCTCAGATAGGATGGGACCTTTGGACATATACTAACCAGGTGTTGCTCTTAAATAAACAAATATAAAAAAAATTAACTTACCGTACTTTTGTCTTTAAGAAGTTTTTCAATTACTTCAATAAGCAGATCTTTCTGATCAGGATCCAAACTATGAACAGAATTAAAACACTAAATACATTTTTAACAAATTATCAGTTGCAAAATGGCCTAGTTAGGAGGTTATAGCTATTAAACATATATGTGTGAATACCATATCAAAATCAAACTGTAAACATTGCACATAACATGGGAACATTTCAAAACCAGCAGTTAAATAAAATAACAAAACCAAATTAATGGGAAAAATCATAGGTCATATTATTGTACTCTTTCGCTCTTACATTACGTATTGGGAGATATACATTTTATTTACTATTTTTTGCATATATATATATATATATATATATATATATATATATATATATATATATATATATATATATATATATATATATATATATATATATATATATATATATATATACACACACACACACACACACACACACACATCTTCACTGATTTTTTTTGTGTGTTTATTTTGTTGTTTTTTTTGCCATATCACTTGATTTATTGCACATTGTGCAATAAGATGTTGGCCATTTCCGATTTTAACCCACAAAAAAAAAAAAAAAAATCATCAAACTGAAATAAATGGAACTAGAATGGGGACCTAGAGGAGCCTCTTTATCTTTTTATCATATTTCTGCAACATGTTTAATGTTTACATCTTCTTAATGTAATAAAAAAAAAAAAAATGGGGTTTCTTTTCCATCTCTGTGGATGCCTTAAGATGTGTTCTGGATGCCTGATGTTTGCCATTCTATTGTTTAGTAATCAAATCACTTGATTTAATCTGTGTTACTCATTTCCTGGTTAATAATAAATAAATAAAATTGTTTCCATACTGGAAAGTTCCCCATACCAAGGGCCTGTAGAATAGTCTAATTTACTATAAAACAAGGTTTCTCTCTCGCTAGGTTTATAGATGCACACACTCCTCTACACCCCCCTTGTGCACACAACTGCTATACATGTAACACATATGGGGTAAAAACAAACTGTATTGAGAAAGCTGGCTAAGCATGATGAGAGTAGTCCTACACACCACAATGTATTTTCTATTAAACTTATTAGATTATACACATTATAATCGGAGTAGATACAAGCTATGGGAGAATAAGCAGAGATAAATTGACCCAGGCCTGTATAAAAGGAGCAGACAGTCAGAGAAACAGACCAAGACACAGTGTGAGAATGGTACATATTAATCTAAGCCTTTTGAATGGCGGCAATGAAATGGTTAATCCTTTTGCTGCACTTTTCATTGCTAGTCAGGCGTGGGAACACACCTTTAACATCAAAACACAAGCTGTAGTTTGGCCCTAGGATCCTCCCATTTGTTTGTTGATGGAGATAAGTTTGCACTATCTGTAGGTAATGAAACAGCCCATCCCTGCCATAATTGTCCTTGGGAAGCAGGAGAACGGAGTGCATGCTTTTTGTTTTACATACTAGGACAGTCACATCGTGTTCTCACAATAGGGACACCTTTAGCCTTTGATATATGAGACAGAGTACTTTTATCCTCACTTGGAGATGGCTCAAGACATGTGGTATAGTTGGTTTTAGGTTAGTGCAGTCCAGTCAGAGCAGAGACACCTTTACCTGTACAGTTTCTGGATAGCATGCGCTGCGGTTTTTCTCACATATGGAGACAGGTCGGCCGATGCTTCCTTAATAGCCAGCATCATTATGGGAACGATAATTGGCACCCTAATGCTCGATAAAACTCTCAGTGCGCTTGCACGAATCAGCTGGTTAGGATCCTGAAAAAGGATCATTAAATAGATGGAATAAAAACAGCAAATTAGCAGCACAGGTGACAACAATTTCAAAGGCACAAGAAAGGCAACATTTCTGGTGATTTATATTTTTAAACAAAAGATATACACTGGGACAAAAGCAAAATAAAAAAAGTAAGAAAGGGAAAATACAACACTGCAAAATATTGTTGTATTACAGCAGCCCAGTAAATGCAGCATTAGTATCAAATACAATACACACTTATCCCATTACGTGTGGGAAAACGTCTGTCCTTACTGCAACCTCT